AAAAAAAAAAAAAAAAAAAAAAAAACAACGTCCTGGATCCTTACCACATCTGGAGCGCATGACGAGTTGACAGGCCTCGATGAGGAATCGCTCGATGTAATGCTGGCATCGCTCCCAGTGGTGCACGGCTAGGCTGCCGATGTTGCATATAAGGCAAAACGCGGCTAGAGGGGCGTGGAGAAACAGAGTGAACAGGCTTCCACCGTGTCGGACGTCACGTAACGTCGGCGGCATGTCTTGGGGGGACATCAGCACCATCAACGGCTGCCCAAAGTAATGGGGCATCTGTTGGAACACGAAGCTGTTGTCTGAGTCGATGACCACGAACAGTGGCTTCCTCGTGAACGGATAGAGGTCACCCGGGTATAGGCAGTGCGGTTCCTTGCCACCTGTCGGCCTCTTCCCGTGCTCCGGGTCCCTCTTGCTGCACGTGGACACGCCACCCAGGTCGTACCCCACTGCAACATCGGAAGCTTTATCAACATCGTGCAATTCCGGTTTCGTGGAGCGGCGCGATGTCACGTGCTATGAAACGGCCTTCCTTGGCTTCCTTGTGTTTTCACTTTCGCACCGAGTGGTACAGGTTAAAGTCTAAAGGATTGAGAGAAGCAGATGTGAATTGTAAACCTATGAAATTTCAAGTCAGATTTCTTTTTAAAATTCAATTTCATTAAACTGAACACTGATAATGCTCCAATGCTTTGAATACCCTGAATCAATTTTCACAGTTTCAACGAGCAATGCTTGCTCCTTGAAATTGAAAAGAAAAGGAGGTAAGGCAATATTGATCAAAAAAAAAAAAAAGAAAAATTGAATACCGAAGAAAGAAAAATTTATATTCGAAACGTCGAAACGGGAAAAATTTCAAAAGTTATTGTCATTCTAACTTCAGAGGTAAACCCGTGGTCGCTCGGGCCTGTTCTTTTCGCACGTGAGTGTGCTCCTATAAATAAAAAGCAACGATTAGGTTGTATCGGTCGTTCACGCGCGGCCGGCTCGAAAGAGCACCAGCTTCATTTCGGCAAAACAATGAGCAGAGAAGCTCGTCGGACCGTGTCGATTCTCGAGCGCCGCCATTCGAAATTGGAGCGTTACCAAAATCGTTGTCTGCATCCTTGGAAGATTTATTTGCGCGCGGACTAGATCGCGCGCCGCGACATTGTAATTTGTATCGCGCTTTTTTGGAACGTACCAGTTCTGCTTTTAAACTCTACCTAGTTCCCTGCATGCCTGATCATTCCTAGTTCCTTCTACTAAGTACTCTCGAATACGAAAACAACCGCGAATAAAACGTGTGTGTGTGTGTATTTCGTAATGAAATTGTCAAAGATCAAATTTAATTTCGCGTCTAAGATCTTAGTATCTTCAAGTTCATCGAAATATCCGAAAGAGTCCAAGAATCAACGAATAACGTGCTTAAATATATTTTCACGATCTTCGTATGGTTTCGTGTGCCGAGATCAGAACACGTAGCCAAATGACAACGGTTTAAACCGTAAAATCGATTGTAGTCGTAAAAAGTGAGAGATTTCCAACGAAGCTGAAAGCCGAGATTTGCTTGAAACGAGGCAGAGGGATCATCGGCGGAATATCGACGCGCCATATTCGCTTATTTCGATATCGATTGTAAACTTAGAATCCACCGGGCTGGCTGCTTGGAATCTCTATCGCGGAATGACCTTGACACGGATGCACTACTCTACTTTCGTTGAAAGACCGTTTTCGCCTTCTCGACCAGCTTGTAACCTCACCGCGTTCTGAATAGCGGCTTCCGAGCGTTTCTTTGGTGGTCAGTTGGCTGAATTTTTCAACATCAAGTCGACCTTCGGTCTTGACTTGAATTTCCTTTTTCTTTCCCCTCTCTT